ATGGACACGGCCACGTCATCGCCCGCGGCCGCTTTCCGCGACGTCCGCGTCACATCTCCTTGCACCAGTTCCACGTACCGGCAGCCCACCACGTACGCTGGCCACGTGGCCGCCTCTCAACCACCTCCCCCGCCGCCGACGGCTGTCGCCACCAACTCGACGCCATCCTCGTCCACCACCGCACCAGGTCAGTGTTCGAACCGAGCGCGATTTGCTATTTCCCCGATCGACCCCTATGCCACACGTTATGACTGCTAAATTATTATTCGTCCCAATAAAATTAGTACCTAGGTATAGTAGTTTTTAGTTAGTACAGCTACCATGACACACGAGTTATTTATTTTTATATTTCACCGTGTTACAGAGCAATGTACACAACACAAAGATTATTTTACACGTGCCCCTTTTGGTAACAGATGAATGGTAACATGTACCTATGATTTTTCAGTATATATGACAATTTTTATTTAGTCATTTTAGACTTACGGATAGAATTTTAGACTTCACTTGAATATCCATGATTTGAAATATTATTGTCTTTGTATACGGGGACTATTAAGGTATTATCATATTATCCATCATATCATACGTCGTCGTATATTAACCGATTTTATAAGAAATTATCTCAATTTTCAACATTGTGTATGAGATTCATCACAATGTCTATACATTAGAACGTAAACGTGGAATTTATGGTTAGCMAAGTCTTTAGTAGGTTGAATAACCTGTAGCAACTATGGCAAAATATCTAGTGAATAAGCGTTGAGTCAATAATCGAGTAATTTAGTGTTGATGATTTCATTGTTAAAATCAATTATTATTGTCGTGCCATTCGACCATTCATAAACATTATTAATAGTATTTAATTATATGGAAAAAAATTATTATTCCTATTACACGCATTTTATCCTGGCAYGAACGAAAGTGAACGATTTCACAGGGTAGCAAGTTTAAGTGCAAATATTATTCACCATATAACTAATATTGTTCTATACCRCAGCGTTTCTTAAACTTTTTTATCCGTGGAACCCTTTTTGATGTTCACTTTTATCGTGAAACCCTCACTTCTTTTTAGCTTTTTAGTTTTTTTTAGGATTATTTGCAAATAAATTATAATATTAAGTAGAAGTATAGATTATTGAATTTATAGAATTAGCTGATAGATTATTCATTATTATTTAATATACAAGTATTATTTTCCATAATGGATGTTTTAAAGTAATTTTCTTGAATATTTAATAAAAATTACTTAAGCTTCGCGGAACCCCAAGGTTCCGCGGAACACAGTTTAAGAAACGCTGTTCTATACAACATTGAAGTCAACCGTCGTAGCAAATTACAAAGTTTTGAGTAAATTGTTTAGTCCACTTTTTTCTTTCAATTCGGGATCTGCTTATCTATCAACGGGCCCGGATGTTTCAGTTTTATAGTATCCTYGGGGCTCGGGTTCTCACGCCATTTGGTCTACGTTTAATTTCGACCCTACAGTAGGTATTACAACTTATACCTATTTACGAACGGACTACGTGCGCTTACATCCGATGACCGTGTGCGATACGTTTTGATATATCTATCTATACGTGCAATATATGGGTAAAATTAATAATAATTATGTGCTTAAATTATACCGTATTTATTTACGAGGAAATAATTATTTAGGCATAATAGATCATTTGGTATTGATATATTATTATGTAATATATGTAACTTTCATCTACCTATATACAGTGAAAGTATACGAAAATAATCATTATTTTAAAACTAGTATATTACCTATGTAGCCCGTAGGATGTGAATTTATTTTAATAAAATATTATAGGAGCATATATTATAGTATAATATACCTAATAAATGTGTGTGTGTCTGTGTGTGTCTGTGTGTGTCTATATATATAACATTATAATTGCATAGTCCCATTACGTTAAAATATTCTTGTTGTTTTTTTATTAAACCTGTACCTACGCTTTTGATTTGCATCTGACACAAGCGTTATTTTGATTGAATACACTTTGGTTTATGTTTATTTTATTATATACATTAAAAAATAAATTGTTTTATCCAATGGCATGTGGTGCGTATACACTACACAGAMTACACTAATAATTGTTATTAAATAAAATTAGTATATTCATATTATTTACGTGTTTTTTGACATCAATACCATATTTTAAATTTTTTGTATGTTAATTATAGTTAATTGTTTATTCTGTAGTCATGTACTATTATATTCGATTTAATTTTTTGGGTTGATTGCATAGGCGTAATTTTAGTTTTAAATTTAGGAGGCTATTATAATTGATATGTATGTACCTACTATGTGTATGCTTCCGGGGATATGGCCCGGTGTGCCATTATTTTATAGCACAGTAGGCCGGTAATAACTTATGTTTTGGGCCACTAGAAAAGATGTCTATAATTTTATATTTCCTTTTTTAGAACTTTATAATATTATTTTATTGTATTTGACGTGTATACAGCGGCGGCCGTTGCACGCTACAGCCTATCTATAATAGGCAAAATACACATACAGYCCTACTATATTATCATGAGAATCAAAAACAATAAAAAATATTTTGTCTCTTCAAATGTTGTCAATTATCGTCCTATCAGGGATTATACGCCATGGATAGTAACGTATCTATAAATAAATACAAAACATTGCAAATGTGTGTGTACTGCGCAATAAGGTGGCAACAATTTTAAAAACATTATTGGTGAGTCTTTTGACGGTGCCGCGAATATGCGAAGAAATTTCATTGGACTTCTTGCGTATAGAAGAAAATGAAATAAAAACTGTATTTAGAAATGGTATTATGCTCACATCTTAAATTTGTGCATTTGTGATAAAAGAATAAATATTTGGCAACAATAACAAAACAATTAGGAATTGGCCAGAATAAACTAAGAATCAAAAAATTTGTGAATGTCGATGGTGATCTAGTAAGGAAAAAACATTAAAATGGGTCTTCAGTGGTGATATCCTGTTGATCTTAGTGCTCTACACTTTGTTACCATATCAAGTCAATTATATCCAAAGTCTTCATCAAAGGTTTATATTCTCATACTAATTTATACATGTTTTTAGCAAAATTTGTGTTGATGTTGTAGGTAYCATATATAACAGTGTTCACTACTATTCAGATATTATGTAACAATCATTAACACATAATATATTATTTTGTACAAACAACAATAAGGTCCTTAGGTCCATAAAGCTTATATAATTCAGTAATCACAGTTTGAGTAAAAATATTTTTATTAAATAATTCATATTTATTTATTTATTTATTTTTTTTTTGGGGGGGGGATTAGAGTAATAATTTGATCGCTAATTAACTTGGAACAGTGGTCTGGGTCCTTCCCAGTCCATCTCTGGATATAAGGTAGAAAGAGATAAACCTCCCTTCACCAAAAAATTTAAAAAATGCTATATTTTATTTTTTATTTATTTTCTATACAATATACATAATTCATAATCACAATGATAATCTATGATTATATTTGGAAAAATTATTTGACTCATCTTCAACACATAAATCATTTGAAATCTGCCTTTTTATGTTATGAATAATAGATAAATTTGTAAATTTTTCTTAACTCATTGAATTCTGAAAGTTTCATCAACTTGATGAACGATAAAACTCAAGTCCTTTTTATGTATTGATTAATTTCAAATTGACGATAAAAATGTACATTTAATTATAATAAAATAGGTTTATTTACCTATACTATCGACAAATATGAAATCATAGTATACAAAAATTAGAATTTATAAACGAAAAAACAACTCTCCTACCTCGAGCATATTCGTCTTCGAGCTTATGTATTTTATGCGACATTGAAGTTCAAGCAGTAAATGTTCAAGCCGATTTGTTCATCAGACCTTGTTAAAGATGCGTCAGTTGAAACTTTTCATCAAGCACTTTCCGGAATTCATCGTAATTAGTTCATATATATAATAGTTATATACAAAGAGGATTAAAAGTTTTCATTAAAAAGACTCCACAAGAAGTTGCACGAAACGTCGTTGGAACTTTTGTAAGACTTCATCGACCACATAAAATGCAACGTACGGTATTACAACAAAAATCGATTATTTTTCCCTCTCTAAAAACAATTTTTCAACCAGAAATCATCGTCGGTGATAGAAAAAAAAACAATTTTATTACGATCGGAATCTATCGCGGAAAATAAGTACGAAAATACAAGGTCACGTAATATAGCAGGTAAACTAATATGTGTAGATTATATATGTATATATAAGTGTATATATAATATATATATACACACAAAACATACCTATACATATATGAAAAATGGATATTATATATATATATATATATATAAACATTATAAACATAGGTACACCGATCGTATATGATTATCTCGTGCCTGCGCATAAATGTAGGTACATGCATGTATCGATTATGCGGTTATTTTTTTCCATGCACATTCAGCCATCCTCTATACCTATTATATTCTGTTGATCGATCATCGGCTTGCGATTGGTCAACGTTGTTGATGTTGAAGATCATTCACTTTGCTCGTGTACCGTTACCATGACTAACGCATATGAATACGTACATTCACACACACACACTTATATATATATATATTTTAGTTATGCGCCAAGAGAGCACTATCCGCACCTATTCCATTGGTTACCAAAACCGTTCACTGTTGGTCTTGTGCCAAACAATTTTTAGCTTGCGTAATTTAATAACATACCTACCTACCTGTTTTTTTTTTATTTATTATTTTTTTTTATCCTAGCCTACTGGGTAAATTTCTTTCAGACATAATATGAAATGTAGGGATATATTATTATTTATTATACAGTGTTGAGTGTATACTATATAAACCCCTCAATTTTTCTCAATTATAATAAGTACATATTTCGTATCTATATTTCTATGCATATTATATACATAAGTAAATCAATTCAAATGTAAGGATATAGTGGATACCATCAGAATCATTTTGTTAAATAAATATCGCGTACATAAGCAATCATACAAAAGCTGAAAAACATATTATATTATAATATAAAATTATTAGATATGTACTGTATGGGCATGTATATTATACAGGTATATATAGTATACCAATTCCTACATAACGGTTTAGAATTCATCCGAATTCAATTCGTCWAATAATATTATTGCACGTGTGTGTATACTCGTACTA